CAGGGTTCTCTCCTCACTTTTATCACATCTCAAATTTATGATCAGATGGTGCCTGCCTTTTTAGTTACCTGAAACACCTGAAGATGTTTGGATCCAAAGCTTTACGCATAAATCCTGTCCTTTGTGCTCTGATTTTCATGTACAAAGCTGTTCAGTATCTCATCTGAGTAGGAGAGTGCATGTTATTTTCTACACTACTTGAATTGTGGGTTTGGTTTTTTTCCCCATTATTATGCCCTCAAAACACTATTCCTACTTATGGTGGGTTGGTTCCCTTCCCCCTCACAAAAAAGAACAAGTAGGAATGTTTACAAAGTTGTCATGAGACAAGAAAATGATGCAGAACAAAGACTAAAGAAGAAGAGTTATATTAATAAACATCACATATTAGATAAGCATTTGCTGTACCTGCACATTCCCAAAACGGCACAAAGGTGATAATTACCAAATTTGTTTGAGGACTTTAAAGTTTATGGAAAACTAGTGGTTAAATCACTCTTAACAGTAAACATGCAGCTTGCAGAAAGTCAAATCTCCTGCTGTGTTCCACAGCACTTTAAGAAGCAGTAAGTCTGATGCATTAGAAATGGGTGACCATCGTATGGTACAAAATAATTCACAGGGAAGGCAGGTTAAAATAAGGTTATCTGAGGAAGACTGAAAAGCTTTCCCCAGTTTTCCCCTCTTCTTTCTAGAATCAACAATGAAATAAGTAGATGAAACAGCTATAGATCATATAATGAGATGCACATACGCCGAAGCCTATGAAGAAGCACCCCACGTTACTGATTTAAGTGCACATGTAAAAGACATAAGCAAAAGATGAGAAGCTGCTTCCAAGACACAGCTCATTGCTCATGCCATGCTTCTGAACAAAGACTACGATGAACAGCATAGAGGCACCTAATCTCTAGAGTCTGTACCTTGTCTTTTCAAAGAAGGCAGAGGTAGATGATCTCTAATCCTCTCAACCTCTAAACATGAGGCTCCTACTCACACAGAAGCACATGTATGCCAGCTAGCTTCCAATGTCCGAGGGGAAAGAATAACAACATTTCCCCCAGCACATCCAGCCCATACATCATAAGCTCTCATGAAAGAGAAGAGTACTATAAACAAAAGGACACAGTATTCTTATCTTCCCTCTGTTGAAGCAGACACAATACAAATCAATGAAGAAGGCTTAAAAAAATTAAATATTAAAAGGTAAGACAGATGAGGCGTGAATAGACAAAATGAAAGGATCAAGTGGAGAGAGAAAGAAGGAATCAACTTCACAAAGAAGCAAATAGACAGTCAAATCAGTTCTTAAGTACGGGGTTTAGAAACTCCTATTGTAGGCACTTTGCACATCATTACAGGAACCTATGACAAATTTGAACCAAGGCTGACAAAACTGAGCATATACAGAATAAAGAGGAAAACATATCTTATTACAACTCTATACAACAATTATTACGCTGTTGCTCTGATCATATTTTACTGTTTAGTCCTTTGATGTCTGTGCATAGGTTGCACAATTTAGTTTCTTCTACACACAGAAATACATGGAGATTGCATATCTAAAGGCTTAGTTTGAAGAAACAGGACAAATCCGAACCATTACAGTTTTTAGCATCCTGTTCCTACAACTTTCAACTGTTTAACTTTAATTTAGTTTTATTAACAGTGTGTTTTGAGTCCCTTTATGAAACTAAACAGCACTCTCAAGGACTGAAAGGAATTATCTCTATGTGCTCACGAATTACCAGACTAACTGGCTGGGAGAAGCAATTTAATGTCATTTTTGCTAAGCAAGCTTCAAATCAAATAAATCTATCCTATTTTCTTCCTTCAGAGTGACTTTTTTTTTTTTATGATGACTGCAGTTTGTGTAAGAGTCTTAAAATATTACCTCTTCAATACACCATGTAAAATTGAGTCTGCGAGAGGAATCAACTGAGTATATATATATAAATGATCTTAATGTTTCAAATTCAGTTGTCTTTCACGGCTATTTAATTTTCCCTTCTCTGTAATCCAAATAGTAAACAATGTCTCTGTAGAGTAATAAATGCTTAACTTAGATTTTTAGAAAGTATATACTGTAAAAGACTAAAATCATCTTTGGTCCCCAAAATAAGGAAATTACAAATTTACATTTGTTTTTGTTTTACAAAGTGTATCAGATAGCATTTTTAAAATTAATACTCTCTTTGAGTTCTACCCAAAAGCTGTGCTAAGCTCAAGTCACGATATAAGTAATAAATAACAGCCTTCTGTTCTCAGCTCAAGGAAACATTTCACGTGTAAAAGCACTCAGGGTCATTCAGGTACATGATACTACACGATGAAGTATTACACTGTATTAGGAGTATCACTCTGCATTTGTCATTCCAGCTAAAAGGCAACAAAAGCTTTTCACCATCTCACTCCAGAAAAAGCTGGGTGATGTTGCCAAGGAAAGGTGCAACCATTTGGAAGAGACCAAATTCATAAGCTTACAGATGCATGAGATTTCCCACCCCTCTGAAAAAAGAACAGTATCCACACAGGGAGTACCGGAAGGGAATGTACGCACCATCTTCAGTCCTTGTTATCCAGCAAACAGGATACACTCCTAATGAAAAGCCTTTGCTATGCATCACCTAACTTCTATTTCTTGATTTCAGATGAGGATTCCATGCTAAAAGCATGGATCTTCTGGAGGACAACATTCTGAAAGCTTCTTGTAAGTCACTGACACTGTCCATGAACTCTCAAATTTCACCAATACTAGGCAGCGTGCTGATAAACAGCAGAGCTGTAACATCTGCACTGGCAATAACAAACTTTGCTATTTCATACCACACTGAACATGCAACTATTTTCTCCGAAATTCACAGTAATCCCGGTGAGACACCATCTCAGTAAAATGTCTCTGTTCTAAACCCAACACCAGACATTGGCTTACACCATTCCATCTTTTCTTTTAAATTGGTGTTCCCTTTGACACTGACTTTCAAGAAGCACATAAAAATGTTCCTGTAGTAAGTGATAAATCATTAGTCCTTAAGAAAATGCAAGCTTTCTTTAACCTCATTAGTACCTCTTTCTGAATTTTTATCTCTGTCTTAGCCATACAGGTGAAATGCACTGCAGACATCAGTAAATTGAAAACGAGAAGGCATCAGTTTTGTCACCGATTTTTCACATGAAGTTATTCTCTGTTGCTTGATTCAAATATTGCAGCATTAGGTTCACAGCTGTTGCTATCCCAGTTCCCTCCAGTATTAAAAAAGCCCAGGCACTTCTACTGACCTACTGTTCAGTATAACCTGGTTTTCCCATTTGTGACCTATCTGCCACATACTGCCTTCTGTTCTTGTCTATTCATCCACTTAAGAACACAGCTACACAAGAACACAATGCAAAAAGTGTTCAGGTGAAACATGAGATAAATTCAGGCAGACAGGGCACACAGTTCTGCTCATGTTAGAGATTTCAGCAGCTTATACCAGAAAGGAATCCAGCTCTAGAGATCTTCTCCACCACACATATTCTTCCTGTAACATGCCTGCACGCATATGCCAAATAATGCACTACACAGATAAAAAACACCTATCAAATAAAGCCCAGAAAAATATCAAGTGACATTTTCCTAATAAAGTTATGATTTTGTCTGACCAACTACTACAGAATTTCAGTTTTGACAAGATATCCTTCTCTTCACTGGAAGTACAATTAAAATAAGAAACAGTTAGGTAGAACTATTTCTGAACAAACTAACGCAACCATGTTATCCTCCAATTAGCTCATTTTCCATAGAAATATTAAGGAAAAAATTGCAGAAACGCCCAATTAAAAGAAAAAGAAAAAATCTTTAAAAATTCAGTTTTACTTACTACCAACAGTTTGAATTTCAAAAGCAGCAGCCAACCTTCCAAAAAGGACAATATTTATCTTGCATGAATAACAATACTGAAAGCTTAGAAACACACTTTATAAGTCCATCATAATTTGTTGCTGGTTCTTGCCCATCCCAGGCTCCTCAGAAATATTAAACATTAAAAAAAAAAAACAAAACCCTATGGAAAAATTAAAACTTAAAAAAAAAAAAAAAAACCCTATGGCTGGAATGCAAATTTATTGGATGACAACCTCCTCTTTCTGTACTGTGCCCTTCAACCCCCTTTTCTCCACCCCACCTTCCAATCATATTTATCTCCCTATTTTGGAATAAAAAGTAGAATGTATCCCAACATTTGCAGAAACACACATACTTCCATTTGATGCATTATGGTGACCATTCAAGAAACTTGCTAACTTTGCACAAATTCATGCATGAACTGAATATGGCAATTCCAGAGCAAGCCACAGAGTAACTACCTCAACACTACATCCATCAAACAACAAAAAAAAAAAAGGAGGTGGTTGTCCATTTCAGCTATATAAGTGCACCAACAGTGAAACTGCAGGAGATCTTGCAGACAAGAATTGAACTGCACTGCTGAGGCTGCAGGAGGATGGATACAGAGAATAGGCTGGACATAACATGGTTAAAGTTATTGCTATTTGCCCTTCACTTCCTTTTTGCATGTATTAGATTTCGTTTTGGTGGTTTTCTTTCTTATATTAACCAACCAATGCAGTGCTGGTCTTAGTGTCTACAATAGGTGAAGAAACAGTGGCAGAACATGTGTATTCAGAGCTTGCACTTGGGAGAGGGAAGGAAAGTACTGTGCAGTTAATCCAAAACAATAACATACTTCAAAACATATATATGGTATATATTATATAAACTATATAATATATGTATATATATGTGGACATCTTAATCGGATCTTGCTTTTGAATGACCAACATTTACTGCCTTCATGACAACAGCTTCTGACTCAATGCACCTCTGCACATATGCAGTGCTGGGCATTCTTCACCACCATGTGATCTTCCTTTTCTTCTTTAAATAAAGACAAAACTCTTTATTCCATGAGGGAGTTAAGCACATCTTTTCCCTTTTCAGTCCCATTTCAATGTCGCTTTCATGCATCCAGACGCTGAATCTCGGGGTGATGATCCACTTCTCTGGACTCTGTCCGAGCACGTATGTAATCACTGGTCTGCCGACTACTTTGTTGTCTGCTGTTCATTCGCCACTTTTTAATAGCTAAATATGTGTTCACAGCATACACTGCCATTGCCAAGAAACCAAATATCTGCAAGTAACAAAAAGAATTGTCAAAAACAATTCTAGAAAACAAGAACAAGAGTAGTTTTGCAACAAATTCTTCAGCAGCTTAGATTTCTATTTTATTTGCACCGACAGACATTGAGGTCTGTAAAAATTGATGTTTTTCTGCAGATTTTTTGGTTCACTGAAGAAGTGACCAACATCAATGACCCCAGAAAACAAAGTTCTCTGTCTACAAACATAGAAATGTACAACAATATACAAGAAATATACAAAGAAAGAACATAGCTCTTCATCCAACAATTCATTCCACAGGGTAAAAATAACAGTGAATGAATTACAAGGGAAGAGATGACCAGTCCAGACCAATAGCCTGAAGAAGGAGCTAATTCGCAATTTTTCCTATATGCTTCTGCAGAACTGTTGTGTGATTTTCAACATGCAGGTTTGAAAGGGAGGGGGAGGGGGGTAATAAAGAGGTTGCCAACTCAAGCACAAAATTAATCTGCTTGAACTTACTGGTCTAGATTTAAAATCTTGGAAGTACTACTATACTTACTCCACAGAACAAAAATGGTCTGTAATGAGCAAGAAGAATTCAGCAAATTATGTGTAAGGAGCTCCAATTTTTTGTGAATTTTTGGCTCTATCTTTTCCATAGGCTTGTAATATAGAGCAGTATCGTCTAAGCTGGCTATAAAGAAAGAAGGCAAGCTCAACTGCTAAAGTGATCTCTGCAAGTAATTTTTCTGTTTGTTCTTGCCTCAAGCCTTAAGACATACAACTCAAAGGATGTCAGCACTTTTCAAATCAGAATTAGCTTATAGCCAACTGCAAAATTAGAAATAAATTGTCATGTCAAAGGCAACAGGAGTATTCAATGAACACAAGGAAAAGTTATTCTTAGTTTTAACAGAAGATGAGTCATATATAAAGAAGTTCAAATTCTTACCACAGCAGCAATTTCTGCTCCAGTTTTATGATTTAAAGCAGCAAGTACTACAGAGGCAATGAAAAAGAAGAAAGTGCTGAGTCCAGTGTTGACCAGATCCTAAAAAAATAAATTCATTAGCATTACTAAAGAATGATTCTTTGCTTGCTTTTATTAGAAGTGATGAAACAGAAGAAGGTTAGAACAAGAACTATAGCAATACTTTCCCACTTTCTATGCAGTTTACCACTCACACAAAAGAAGGCAAAGATCATTACACAGGAAATGTATTATATGCACACATTAGTTTGTGAACTGCAGTCCAATAGCATGTACACACAAAGCACCAGTGCAGATTCTGGATGAGTTACTTCAATTTCTACCAGGTTTGCTAGCAAAGTACTGTCAGCGTAAACAATGAGTAAAGTTGTTCCACCTCAGCTGACACTGAAGTAACCTTCAATATCAAACTTTAGCACTCCAGGAAACCTTTGTTCTCGTTCACATTACAACAGTGCTCCATGCACTGCCCAGATAACTGTCAGAAATTTTTCTACCAATTCTTTGAGGCCTTCACTGTAGAAGACTGCATGTCCTACACCATTTCTATGAGTAACAGCTGCCCAGACTGTGAAAATACACGGATTTTTACATATTTATTATGATTAATGTTTCAAGGAGACATTTTAGAACATTAGCACAGCAACATCCCATGGCACCTACGTTCAGGGAAAATCCTTGCTTTGCTTCAAGCACAGAAAAATGACAGGCAACATCCAATTAAGTTACACATATGCTGCTCATGTTAGAGTCTTTGATGATTATGTTGCTGTAGCTTACTTAAAGCAGAATCATTAACATATCACTGGAACATAAGTAAAAGTTCTGAATGTTCACTGTGCAACTTAAAGTTTTTAGTTAAAGAAAAAAAAAAAACCACAACAAAACCACTCTAAACATGGTAACTCCCACCATTAAAAACAAAATCCCATCACCACTCTGATTAGAATTCAAGGATAAATCTATTCCACTTGACTCTCTTCTTTCACATACAAGCCAGACTCACTTCTGTTCCTGTTCCTCCACTTACTACAAGCAGGATTTATTTTTTTGTTCTATTTTATTTTTCCCCAAAGTGCATCTTGTAAAGTGCTGTAAGAAGTTAGTCACAGAAAACTGAAGATACAAAGAAAACTGAAGATACAAACCTAAACTTATTCCCTGGGTATGAATCCCATGACTATATTCCAGCTGCATTGCACAAAGACTATGAAAGACCATTGTCATCCAGCCACCCCCAAAACATCTGTTTTCCGTGCCATAACTGGAGAATGCTTTAGAAAGTAATTATAGAAACTGAGTTTCTGGTGCTGTGTTATTCACAGGGAAGCTATCTATTTTGAAGGTACTGACACCCAGGGACAGCTAGTTATCACAATTAAGTGTACCTGGCAATAAACTGTGTGTTGTACCACTGTGGCCTAATCCTCATCTAGAAGGGGGACCTTTCCAAGAAATCTGAGAGACTTCCATTGCTCATTGTTATTTCCACAGATGTGTTCAGATTTCATAAGCCAGATAATACCCAAACTGTCTTCCCAAATAGTAAAGGAACAAAAGCAAATTGTGGGGCTCAAACTCCTACCATCTTTCTACCTGCCAGAGTATAATTAGAGAAATAGCTTTTCTCTCTGTTCAAGCTTACCAAGACAGATATTATCTGGTATTTACAGCATCAAAAAAGAAAAGAAAAAAGAAAAAGAAAAAAAAGCAATTTTATTAAATAGTTATTACAGTTTAAACTTGTTTTGCAGAGATAAGAAATAGAGATATCAGAAAATAAATGGCATTTTACAATTTTTCCAAGTATCCTATGCAACTCTGAGTTTAGCAGCACTAACTGTGTCTCTGTGGTTGCCAACAAGAGCTGTGGTTCTCATCTGGACAAACCTTTCCTCACTAGAGGGGAAGTCTCACTATATATGACAACAGAAACCAAGCTCAAAGGTATTCAACATTACCTGTGCAAGGGACACTGCAATGCTGTGTCCTGTTCCAGTATCCACATTTTTAAAAGTATGTTGAAACATTGCACAGGGTACAGAGAAGAGCCACAGAAGTTATTTGAAAGGAGGAGACAGTTTCTCACAATATGAATCAAACAACCTAAACTGCTTCGAATATTAATAAGGTTGACCTGTGTACATGAAGACTTCAGTGTTCAAATAATTAAAAAAACACTAGTTGTTTTCAAAGTTTAACACAGAAAAGCACAACAAATTTAACAAAAAGCACAGCAATATTAACAGCTGCAGAGTTAAGACAAGGCATATTCAAAATGAAGTAAGCTCTAAGGGAACTAACCATCAGAACAAAGATGTGCTTACTATTCCACTTTTTCACTTCTTATAATCCAGATTGGTTTTTCAGACATCCTGTGCTTCCTTAGTACCATACTTAAAGACTAAGGGGTTGACACTCCCTAAAATAATGTAGCGTTTTTCCACGTAAGAGAAAAAGAATAATCATGACAATAAAAAGAATAAACTAATTGAAAAAAGATGGGCTGTTTCAAATCTGGCCATGATGTAGCTGAAGTTCTCTCTATTATATTTATAGACAAAGTAAAAACCACATCACACAGATAGAAGAATTTCTGCTGAAATCACAGCAACCTCATGAGACAGTCTGCTGCACCATAAAACACTGTACAAAGCTGCCATCCGTAACAGAGAAGAAAATCTATGAGCTGAATCAAATCCTCTCTAGACTGCTGCTGCTCCCTTTCTCCTTTCCAAAACGATTTAAAATGAAAGACTGACTTCTGGTCATTTGCTAGTTATTTGCAAGTTTATTTGCAAGTCATTCTGTTCACTCACCAATGGCCCTGTTAGTCCAAAACACAGTATCCCAGGACAAGTATTTACTACTGCCATCACCAGCTATCTGTTCCACTCTGAAGAAGCATAAAGCAGAGGAAGCATCTTAACTTGTGAATGAAGATGAGTTTATGCCAAGACAACATTTTGTACTAAAAAAAGGCGAGGCTCTTCTCCTGCTGATTCTGCTGTAAAGGTTGGAAACTCTAGAAAAGTACAGCATCCTACAGCCTTTCATTTTAAGGGTCTGGTATGGTTCCTACATTAATGAAGACGGAAAAGCTGAATTGGTGCTATAAATTAGAGGTCTGCTAACAGACTCCCATGAAAAACTCCCATTAAGTCACTCCCGAAAGCTGCAAGGCACACCAGCTTCGAAAGCTTCTGTTTAATCCTCTAGTTCGGTACACTACCAAGAGTTGGCTCTGTTGCTCAAGAGGCATCAGTAGTATCTACGAGCCTTTATCCATCACTCTCCGTGACTTCACACATGCAAACTTTTAAGAGACATTTCAACGAAACGACATGCTCTGCCGTTTTATCCTGTATTTTGTTGTGAAGAGACTGCACAACTGACTTTAAAAGGGAGACATTGCCATATTGCAATTGTAATTTGTATTAACGAAAATATCACATTTAAACTGCTGATTGCTTTGGTTTGAAATCCAAGAGTTTACATTTACATGGAGTTCTAAGTAGCTAAATTTACATAATCTGGGGAAGAAAACTACACATTTCAACAGCTGGACTTTGCCACAAAAGGTGGCAAAAATTAGTGTAATGCTGATGTCTAGGTTATTTTCCACAAAAGAGAGCACTCAAAAGTAACACTTCCTTTCAGGTCTTTGGGGTTTGGAGGTTTGTTTTGTAGTTGGCAGGGGAAGGGAGGGCAAGTGTGGTTACTGTTTTTTTTATTATTATTATTTTTTATTTTTACTTGCAAGGTTTGGGAACTTTTTCCCTTGTTTCTATATGAAGCTATTAACCTGAAGTTTACAAACATACCAGTCAGTCTCCTAAACCAGCACTGTCAAACTCCTGTAATTTTACTCTATAATCATATTATTAAATATTGTATGAATATTTCACACCACAAAAATGGAAACAAGGTTTCTCAAGCAAAAGTCAGTCCTACGTAGAAAGAACCACATTAACTCTATGAGCACTAATTCCCATCTCTTTTTCTCATTTATTTAGGCTTATATAGGTAAAGGAGACTTCTGCAAACAGGGATATCTTAGTGTCCATCTCAGTGTGGGACTACAGTGCCTCATCCCCACGCAAGGCTGAAGGTCCCCACGGGCCCCACGTCGCACACAGCAGCCCCCAGAGGTGTCTCTGCAGGTGCTCCTGTTCAGATGCTTCAGTGCAGTCCCAGGCACTTGCTGAAATCAGTTCTATTTCCAGCATCGCAAGCCAAGTATGTAAAGAACCCTGAATTAATGCAAGTGATGTTCAAAAGCCTTCGTCAGCTCTCCAAAAGGTCAGGGACAAGCTGTAATTTTCAAAGAAATGGAAGAAGTGGCCTTGCAACCAAGATTCATATGACTTTATTCTTATTTTTAACCACTTTTGAGTTGAAATACAAGCTCTGCTGGATGCTCTGCTGCAAATAACAAAACGTGTTCTTGAATTAATGAATGCTTATACAACCCGATTTCATTCTGGTTTCTTGTAGATCACCCATTTCCCTCTTGATTCTCTCTTAGCTGCTCCTCACTGCTTTCCCTGCATAATTTTCCAGTCAGCAGTCCTCCACACAGACAGGACCAGCAGTTACAGTTAGAAAGCAACACACCTTACTAGCAATAACTACCAAACCATGTAATATTTCTTGTATTTAAAACTTGTGTTTGTATTTCTTACAGAATAATACATCATTTACACCATGCTGCACCAAATGAGAACACCAAAAAAAAGCACCAACCCAGAGGAAATGAATTCTGACAATTTATTAAAATTTATAAAATATTCATTTTCATCCTTAATAGTTATTGCTATTTTGACTGCAGTAAACATAGAAGTGAAGGATGACTGACTTAATTTCTCATCCAACACCTAAGCAAGCCAAAGAAAACTGGGATGTTTATCAAAACAGAAGGAGAAAAAATAAATTAAAAAAAAAAAATAAAAATCAAGATTATCCTGTGAAGGCCTTTGAACTACAGCTTTGTAATTACACTCTTTATAGCCATAGCTGGCATAAGACAGCTTGCCATTCTGGCACTGCATCAGATTTGC